GAGGAGAGGAGAGGAGAGGAGAGGAGAGGAGAGGAGAAACATGTGAATATTTATAGAATGTAGAGTCTATTTATTTCTAACATTGTAACACTTGGATTTATCGATTATATTGTTTTCCAAATTTTTGTAAATAAATGATCAAAAAAATTAAACTCATTTTCTTCTTCTCATGACTGATGTCATCATAACTGTTGTTTTGCACTGAAGACATGTTCAAGTTCTACTTCTACTCATCATGGTTCTGTTTCTATGGAGGAGCAGGGCTTTTATTTTGAAGAGTAAATGAAGAGCACAGAGAGAAACACTGACCAGAGCAAAACAGCTGTTTTTGTGTTTACTTGTCGAACTCACAGAGCAGTTCATCTGAGATGTGGTTGAGCTGCTGCATGTTTTCATACTGTATGTTCTCTACATATATCTATATCTATATCTATATCTATATCTGACGGATGGTTTGTTACTCACCCTCTGACTCGGAGTCCGTCCTCACGGACGCTGCAGATGGCGGTCTTTGGGGGCGGGGCTTGGGAGTGGGCGGGGACATCCTCTTTCTGCCGATGAACTCCACGTACGTCCCGGGGAAGTCTCCTTTCTCCTGTCGACCAGAGAGGACCCAGTGAGGACGGGTCCGGTACAGAGAGCCACACACCAAGTAGACCGGTTATGTTTAAGGAACCGATACACACAACTGAACCACTGGATTGGATCACAGCGTGGGGACGTTGTGATCCCTTCAAACAGCTGGAATGGAAACGTTTAACTTCCTGTTTATCTGTGAAACACTCCAGTGAAAGAAGAGAAACGAAGCTTTCAGTTTATTGAAGAATACTTTAAATATTAAACTGTTTAAACTTTAGAAGATAAAAAAGAGACAAAATAAAACAAAGACGTGTTTCATTTAACAGATAATTAAAGGTGTTGACAGCTTAAAGCCTTAAATAATATTAATGACTTTGAGTCTTTTCTCTCCATTTCCTCAGAGACACACAATCTATAAGATTGTTCTGTATATTAAAACACTATATTACATCTTATGTAATCATTTCCAGAACTCAAAACTAAACCTGTGAACACCAGATGTTCACTGAACTTAACAAAAAGTGTCTTTAAATAAATACATCTTTAGCCTCCAATCTTATTATTATAAACATATTAAAGTGACGGATTATATATTAAAACGAGAACGTTTAACGCAAGTAGTTCGGAGGAAGTCGACCTCTAAGGCTGTCAGAGGGAGAGGTGCATTGTGGGTAACGTAGGCGCCAGGTTTCGGACGGGGAAGAAGAACGTGTGGAATAAAAACATGGATTTATTTTATTTTGTTTTTCTTCAACGGTCCAGCATGAGTTCAACATGCTGGAGAACCGGGACCAGCCGGGACCGACCGACCAAAGCAGCTTCTGGTGTTTTATTGTCTCCTCTCCTCTCTGTGTTCACTTGCTGTAGTTCAGTCAGAGTTTCTCCTCCTTGTTGTCACATGACTGTTGGTCTCAGATGAATAGTGGCGTTTTTTTACAGCTTCTGGCTGTAATAAAAGCTTTGTTTTTGGAAATTGTGCAAAAACACACACACACACACACACACACACACACCAGATCTGTTCTTGCCAGCAGGTTTTTTTTGTGGTTAAGAAAGTTAAAGTTCAGCTCGTTGCAGAGAGGCTGATTTAAAAACGTGTAGTTTAAGTGAACCGGAACCAGGACCAGGACCTACCTGCGTGGTCTCGTTGACGCCGGGCAGCCAGCCGATCTCCGACGGTCGTTCTTCGGCTCCGTTCCCACAGCCGAGGGCCACCAGCGCTCCTCTGCTGACCAGCAGCATGTCTCCCACGTGTAGGTCGATGTCCTCCTCGCGCTCCTTCTTGTAGTCGTACAGAGCTCGGTACTGGAAGCCCTCAGAGCTCATCGCTGCGGCTCTATGGCTTCTTCTCGACGACAACTAGTGAAAAATATTACGGCTCCGGGTATAAAAATACAAGCTCTCAATCCTGAGTTAATAAAGGGAACGTAGGCTGTCCAGCTGTCTGTCTGTCTGTCTCTCCTGTCTCCATGTCTGCTAGAGGCCCGTCATCCCTCCAGCCGTCCAATCAGAGAGCTCCTCCTCGCCGTTCATGAACAGAAGTCTCAGCAGAGGTGGAGGCCACATCTGGGGAGGAGGAGGGTCCACCTGAGAGAGGGAGGAGGAAGAGGAAGAGGAGGAGGAGTTTATATAGCCTGAGAACAACTGCTCCACTGAACTCGTTGTGCAAATGACAAATAAGGAAGATGAACTTCATAAAGATAAATGATTCATCTATTAGTCTCTCAATGGGAAATGAATCAGCATTGATTGTAACAGCTGATTTATTGAATGTATTGTTGTAATACTTGGATTAGTTCCAGCTCAACAATAGTTAATGTCTCACATTTTGTTTTGTGATAATAAACTGATTATATGATAAAACAGCGTGTGATGGTATCTAATAACTTAGAAACACCATTATTGGTTCAAACTGTCATGAAATAAAGTAATAAATAATCACTGGTATAAATTAACGATTTATAGATTGAGCCGAAAACTATTTATATAAATGTATTAATATAAGTATGTTACAGGTAAAGAGGTGCTTTCGTTCAGTAAACATGTTTATCAGTTCCTGTCAGGATGATGTTAATTAACAATAATAAATAATATAAAAGAACTTCAGACTACAGTAATGAAGCCGAACAGATGAATATAACGTGTTTAACGTACAACACAATTATGTTATTCAGAATATACATATAAACAAACATTCACACTAAACACGCTGTTTTTTAAAGGGACCTTCGTTTAAGCAGGAAACCGGAAACGACCATACATGCCAGTGTTAGCTTAGCTTAGCTTAGCTTCGTGTCAGTCGCTACAAACGTCTCACCTTTTTTTTTTTCACCGATTAAAACTTCCAGCGGAGCAAACAGCGGACGCCATTTTGGATCGAAGAGGAGAAGACACGACGTCCAGGTCTCCCCCAAAAACTGGAAAATATTCCAAATGTTTGATCGATTATTTGACGAAAGAAAGACTCTCGCGCTTCAGCCGTCTGAGTCTTTGGCAGGTAGCCTGACATCAAGTTAGCGTCAATACGTTTAACCATTTCCGGTACGGACCTTCAAAATAAAACGGGTTTTATAGTATTAAAATACAAAATAAACTTCACATGAAGAGTCACTTTGAGTAAACATCTGATCTGTTGAAATTCATATTCAAATTATAACAGCTGCTCTTGCCTGAGTCTACTTTACGACATATTTAACTCGCTAAAATACGTCATATAAGAGGACAGCGAGCAGAATTGACAAGTTCCGGATGGCTTTCAAAATAAAATGCCTCCGGCGAACATGTGTTTGCAACATTAATGCGTTTTACAGCAGCAGCGACAAAAATGATGGGCATTATTCAAAGAAAAGAGTTTTAAAATCTTAAGATTATTTCCTTATTTTCTGTTAACTTCGCGTTAAAACACCACAAACAGGATTTAAGAGATTTAAACCGATTACAGCTGGAAAAAAGGAGGCTGGGCACCGACGTCACATCCGGTGACCTAGATTTTAATGCAGTGCGCGCTGCTGTCAAGACGGGACCATAGCAACAAAAGAGTGTGTGCGTGTATGAGCCGGATGGGGGTGTACTGTATTCAGACTGCCCTCATTTATTCAGGTCTTACACAAGCAGCACAGTGTGTGTGTGTGTGTGTGTGTGTGTGTGTGTATCATGTGACTGCTGCTGTGGCTTTTTCAGCAACACACTGCACATCACATGCAGGGCTGCACATCCATCACCAGACAGTTCATTCAAAACATCAAAGCTTTATTTACATCAGTGAGTGGAGAGGAAATATATTTACATATAAAAATATACAATCATAAGATCGGTCCTCAAGTTCATAAATATACAAAAACAGACTGGTCTTCGGCATAAAGAGACAGTACTGTGTTTGAGGGTTGAATCCCCCCCCCCAATATTAATGAAGATCTGCACTTAGTCATGAGAGGAACAATGTAAAGTGTTTAATATTCAGTAAATACTGAACGAATGCTGAATTGCTGCTGATGTTAAGATGCTCCATCCTGTAAACACCATGTTGTGATTTTAAAGGGACAGTACTCACGTACTTCTCTACAGTCACAGTTCAGAGAAACACAAAGAACCAGAAACCAGACTCCATTCATCAAACACTGATTCTACCTCAGATCAGAGGAGGCGCTCTACTGCTCCTCCTCCTGTTTGTGAGTTTGTGTTGTTGAGAGACTTCAGTGTTTAAAGACACAAACACTAACAGGAGGAGGAGCAGTAGAGCAGCTCCTGTGATCTGAGAGGTTAAATCAGTGTTTATATGGAGTCTGGTGTGTTTGTAGAGATCACAGATAACAGCTTCACTTCTACATCAGAAAGGTAAAGAGGAGAAAACATTCTAAATATAACGTTCACTTAAACTGATATAGATACTTTCATGTGTCTAGAATACATCCACAGCAGAACATTACTCTGCTCCATCTACTGTAATACTTAGACTGTGTAGAAGTACCTCATACAACCACACTGCTAAACATCGCTACTGTCCCTTTAAGACACAGTCGTCCCAGTCTACGGCCCAGTAGATCATGTGATCGATAAAAACATCAGGATTCATCTTCTGCAAAAATATAAATAAGTGAAGGTAAATGTGAGCAGTAGCGGCTCCTCACTGGGACACGGTACCCGGTGAATAGTCAAGAGAGCGGTTTGAAGCTCGTCTACATGCTGAAGACGCTTCCTCGCCCATGAACCGACAGGTCGATCCCCCCCGACAGCCGCAGCGCCTCCTTCAGGTAACGTCCCACCTGCTCCGAGAGGACCACGTCACAGAACACCCAGATCTCCAGACGCTCACGCCGGATGTTGGCGTTACACGGCGGCGGCGGAGGACCGGAGCTCCGGACACACCGGCTCAGAGAACACCACCCTGGGGGGGGGGGGGGGGGTGCAGGTGAGGAAGAGGGTGAAACAAGAGACCAAGAGAATAACTTTGATTTACCAGCTACAAAAAAACAACTAAATCCATTCAAATGAGACAAATGTACATTTTGTACATCAACTTGTAGCTTTAAACTGTCCAAAAGCCAGAAATATTCAGTTTACTTTCATGTATTCTATAAAATAAGCATCAAATTCTCACACATGAGAAGCTTCCAGTACAGACTTTGTGATCTCAGTCTGCACATACAAGACGAACAGAAACTCAAAGGTGAAATGCTCCTTTAACCGAGCTGAAGAGAAAAGAGCTGGGATCTGTACACATATTTAAATGAGGTAATATGCAGATATTTGGTGCTAAATTTAACCCCTTTTTCTTGCAAAATATCCAGAAGCCGTTACAGTGGATCTACAACTAGACACTGGACCTTTAAGACGGCCTTAAAGCAGGAACAGAGAGCAATATTTGTCCATTTATTCCTGTTTTAACATTTCATATTTACACATAACATCATATTATTTTAAGCGGGTACTGAGGCCTGCATGGAATCAATTTAAATTAAACTTTAGAGCGGCAGATACAGAATACTTTGTGTAATATTTGGGCACATCATTACTAAACTGTTCAGTAGTGTTGTGAAGTTATTTTGATAGAAGTTTAACTTCCTGTGGTACATATGTACTAAATGAACATCATGCTGTATTGAAGAAGACTTGAAACTAGAGATTGAGACCATAAACTCATGTTTACAATGTTTACTGAGGTAATAAATCAAGAGAGAAGTAGAGTCATTTTCTCATAGACTTCTATACAACCAGAGGAGTCGCCCCCTGGTGGACACTAACATTTCATATTTACACATAACATCATATGTTATGTGTAAATATGGGAGAGAATGCAGGTTTAAGACATGAAGCTTTGACTTCACTCTAAAGAACCGGAGGTTGTCTCCTAATGGTTGGAATAATAATAATAATAATAATAATAATAATAATAATAATAATAGTAAACAGCCTCGTAGAGCTGTTATCTGATCCACCGACCTGCTCGATGTCTCTGCCCCCCCCCACAGTTGTGCTGACCGATCACCCACTTGGCCCTCTGGTGGAGGTGCAGCCTGTGGACCGAGACCACGTGACGGAACCGTCCGGACATGGACTCTCTCTGCAGACCTCCTTTCTGAGTGAAGACGCTCCACGAGCGTTTGAGCGGAGAGTCCGTGACGGAGGAGCCATCTTTGTGTCCCGTGACCTCCGTCTCTGGGAGGAGGTGCTTCGGTGTTTCTGAGACGCAGGCGGCCTCTTCAGGTTCTGGAGGATTCTCAGGCGGTGGTTGGCGATGAGGACTCTCAGAAACAACAAGAAGACCGTGAACTTCTGGTTCCCGAAGCTGGTTTAAACCAGCCGGGCCGGTGATGACGGGAGGCGGTCTGGCCGGTCTGATGGGCGGGTGGCGGTCTACAGAGGACCAGGGCCTGAAGACCAGAGGAGTCCTGCAGGGGAAAGACTCCAGGAGCCGCTCGGTCCTCTCTAACAGGCAGCTGAGACCAGCAGCTGATCCGGGCTGGTAGTGCAGAACCACATCCTCCATGCAGATCAGAGGACCCTCCTCTTCCTCCTCAGCATCTTCCTCCTCGTGAGGTCCCTTCAGCTAGACGTAGAACCCTGGTTACTCTATAGGTTACAGAACATTCAGTTAAAGGTCACACATTAGGGTTCTTTATTTACTTCTACGTATTTTGGGTTTCTACTAAAACATGTAAAGTATCTATCTATATATCTATCATGATAATAACTCCACGATGAAGTCTTATATCGACACATCACTAGTCCCTCACATTCTGACCATTCATCCAGAACATTAACATTCATAGACTGTCTGTAATTAGACCCACTTAGAGTCTTTATGGTGTAATGATATCTATGAAGCGCTATATCTGATCTATTCCTCATGATTCTTCATCAAACGTTCAACTCAAGACTTTTACCCCAAATCATCCTAATATTATAATATATTTATATATATTTATATATATCTATATCTATATCTAGATATATATCTATATATCTAGATATATATCTAGATATATCTATATCTAGATATATTTATTTATTTATTATTAAATGATCTGCTGCCTCAAAGACCTGAGTGACTTTAGGAGGAATTATTTCCTGAATTCTTTATTTTCCTTTTTTTAGGTCGTTTACAGGAAACTCAAAGTGACGAGAAGCTAAATTAAAAACATAAAAACAACCACTGAACCAGCTAAAAATACAACAAACTGTGTAAAGAGATCAACTTCAAGTGAATCATATCAAACGTAACGTGGAAGCTAATGTTTGTAGCTTGTGATGCTAGCGGCCGTCTGTCTGTTAGCCGAACAAAGCCAACGAGCTAGCTATAAAACATGGCGGCGCAGTTGTCCAACAGGTAACTTACAGGTAACAACCTCTCCTACAGTCCAACAACACTCAACACTAACCTTTAAATCAGAGGACTGAGGTCCGTCTGCTTTTTAAAAACAGCCAACAAGGAGTTAAAGTTCCGGTCTGGCGATGCTAGGCTAACATGCTAACACGGTTTGTGTTACGGGCTCTTCCCGGGAAGTCTCGCGAGAGTTGAACTGAAGTAACGGACAGACTGACTGAGCGTCACAGCGCTTTATTTCTCTGTATTTATTTCCACAGTAAACATATATTATAAGGTTGAATTGATTTGAATGTTTTCAGCCATAATTAAATTTTCTGTTATATTTACTATATTGTTGTTTAACTACAAACCTAACCAGAAAAAATGATCAGTGTTTATAAACAATATGTATTAGTCTGTGGTGGGGAAATATTAAGATAATTTATATTAAATAAAACTATACCACACAGTAACTGCTACTATCATATTTTCTATCAGAGTATTATTACTCTGCATGAATGTAAAAGCAGGATTTTACTGTCATAGTTGAACTATTAACTTATGAAAGCAGCAAGAAATAAAATAGTACTTAAGTTCATTACTTTACTATTATAGTACTAGTGTATATATATATTATAGTACTAGTGTATATATATATATTATAGTACTAGTATATGACAAGACCAGCTGGGTGTCATCGGCATAACAATGGTAGGAGAAGTCATGCGAGTGAATAACACAACCCAGAGATGTTGTGTAGAGCGAGAAGAGAAGGGGGCCCAGGACTGAACCTTGTGGAACCCCCGTAGTCAGCATGCGCGGTTCCGACACAGAGCCCCTCCATGACACCTGGTAGGATCGACCTGTCAGGTAGGATGCAAACAGGGAGAGTGCAGAGCCTGAAACGCCCATCCCCTCGAGGGTGGATAGGAGGATCTGGTGGTTAACAGTGTCAAATGCCGCAGACAGGTCCAGGACAATCAGGACAGAGGAGAGAGAGTTAGCTCTCGCTGCGTGAAGCGACTCCGTCACCGCAAGGAGGGCTGTCTCAGTCGAGTGACCCACTTTGAACCCGGACTGGTGAGGGTCCAAGAGGTTGTTTTGGTGGAGATAGGAGGATAGTTGAGTAAAGACAGCACGTTCAAGTGTTTTGGAAAGAAAGAGTAGAAGAGACACCGGTCTGAAGTTCTTGACATCAGAGGGGTCAAGTGATGGTTTTTTCAGAAGGGGGGTGACTCTGGCAGTCTTGAAAGCCGTGGGAAAGCATCCTGAAACAAGAGATGTTCATGAGGTGGGTGAGAAAAGGAAGGAGTTCAATCGCAATAGACTGAAGAAGAGGGGAGGGGATCGGGTCAAGAGAGCACGTGGTGGGGCGGTTAGATGTAACAAGGTTGAGGACCTCGTTAGGGGAGAGGGGAGCAAGATAGGGTAAGATGGGGCATGGAGAGGGGAGGGAGAACTGTGGGGGAAGAGCTGGAGATGGTAGAGAGGGAGAGGGTGGACAGGGAGAGAGTGGACAGGGGGGCTGAGAGAAGGAGGATCTGATATCGTTTACCTTCTTGTCAAAGAAGTTGGCGAAATCGTCAGGGAGAAGGGAGGAAGTAGGAGGAGGGGGTGGGGGTTGGAGGAGTGAAGAGAAAGTTTCAAAGAGTTTTTTAGGATTGGAAGCAGAGGTTAGGATTTTGGAGCGAAAGAATGCAGCTTTAGCAGTAGATAGAGTGATGGAAAAAGTGGAAAGAAGAGCTTGGAAGTACTAGTACATATTATAGCACTAGCTTAGTTTTTGATTTACAAACAGAACTTCTCTTCAAATAAAACAATATGAAACAAGAATATTTTTGCATGACGCTTCAACTAATGGTTCAAATTGTTTAAATCAAACAAGGTTTTTAAATGATGAATAATTAAAGTATTTTAACAACTAAAGTCTTTCAGAAGACTTCAAAATAAAAAGCACAACATTCTAAAGTCAAACAATGTTCCGTAGTATTTAACCCGATGCCTGAAGCGTTGATGCAGTGAATAAAGACAGACGCGCTGCAGTAGTTTGTCAACAGGACATTTTTATTTGATACGTCCGTTTGTCTTTTATTCAAATTACAGTAATATACTTGCTGAGATGACCACCGGCTACAAACTCACAGCTGTACTACTTCAAGCGAACTCTTGTTTTTCCTGGTTTTTATTTTTCTCTCCTTTTGTTGTTAAAATTATTCTTGCAACAGAAAAAAGAAAAGAAAAAAAAGCACATATGCCATAAAGAAGAAGAAGAGAAGAGAAGAAGAAGTGTGGTGTGTGTTGGTGATGGTGTCATCAGGTGGGAGGAGTTATAGTCTAAATAAAGAAACAGCGCATCGTACATGTGGTAAAGGATCAGAATATGGCACATTTGGTCCACGTTGGTAGTTTTATTATCTCGTTTTTCAAACATGTAATAAACAAAAAAACAGAAAGAAAACAGATCATAGTTGTTTTTCCCCAGAAGCACAGCGTTAATGACAGGACAGCATATTGAAAACAAGTAGGGGGGGGGGGGGCTTTAGGGTTCTCTCTTTGTTAAAATCTTGGTTCATCAGCCAATCGTTTTGTTTCAATTCTCCTGGTTTACAGTAATAATATCATTATTATTAACATCTTCTTTCCATCCAAGATGAGAGGGGGGGGGAGGGGATGGGGCGGGGTTTCGTGGATGATTGACAGGGATGGCTTTTTTTTGGACATTCACAGGAAGTAGTCAGGAGTGCGTCTGGTCACGTGGGGCTCTCCGCGGCGGGGGGCGGGGTCAAACTGAAGGCTGAGGAGGCGGGACAAAAGGTTTTTACGTTAGTGATGACATCACTGGAACATTTAAATCTATTTATATTCTGTTACAGACGTTTGTAAAACCATCAAAAACTAAAAATCAATCATCTGTGTGAAGAAGAATCACCGTAAACAGTAAAGTACATTCAACTAGATGTGTTTGACTCGTTATATTTACACATAAACACGTTATAAGCATCAACCAATCAGGATGTGTTAAAAACAAACTCTAGTGACAACATGGAGGGTCTGAAGTCTGAACCAACCAACTTTATTAATCCTTTCAACATTAACAAAGCTTCTGTTCTTACCTTTCACAATAAAAGCCCGAGACATATTACATAAGCTGGTGAGCTCCACACATGGTCACAAGTCATCGGTAGATCATGTTCTGTTTCTGTGAAATGTACTTTACTTTCTTCAGTCTAAACTGGTGACATGTCAGTTTCCTCTTTTAACTTTGTCTTTTCACAATAAGAGTCAAGACAAAATAATGATTAACGGGAACACTGACGTGATAAAAATCCAATTTCAGTCTAAATACAAACTCATCTCTGTTAATAACAGACAAATAATGATCTAAACTTCACTCAATCTTTAAATCCTGCAGACCTTTAGGTGAACGTTGTGAAACATGCCGGAGACAAACGATGAAGTGAGATGAAGAAGAAGTGAGTTTCACTTACAAAGAGTATTTCAGAGTGTCGTCCAGCTCCATGATGGCCGCCTGGTTTCCACAGCGGTAGCAGTAGTTTGGAGCACTAAAGATGGTCACCACGTTCTTATCGTGGCCCCAGTTGTAGCCCTGAAGGAACCGAACACACGTCACACGTTAGCTCCAGAGCTAACCCTCACTCACAGTTTAAAATCACACATTTAGGAAATGATTACAGAGATGAGGCTCTTCCTTTAAAACAAGATGCTGAAGTGTTGACTGTTAAACTTCTTCCCCTTAAAGGACCGGCACATATCACTAATATATGATCCTTCACAGCCTCGTTGATCCTCCGCTGATGTTTATTTAAATACAAACTCTCACTAATAAGAGAATCAGCAGCTCACACTTTAGTCAGTGACGTCTGAAGAAGACACTTTGGTAAAAACGTGAACTTGTTCTAGACGTTTCCTGTACAAAAGAACATGTTTGAGACGCAGTAAACCTGATGAAGCTTCACTGTGAACAACAAATCAGTGTTGAAATCAACAAGAGAGCTAGTTAGCATTAGCATCCGGTGAGCTAAACAACAGAGTCACACAGAGGTTAGCAGAGGTTCACTTCAGTTACATTATGGTGCCTTCAGGCTCTGCTCAGGGGAATGAGTACTGGCTAGTAAATTATAATGTCCTCGTCCTCCTCTCTCTTCGCTTTCTTTCTTCTCCTCATCCTGTCTTCCTTCCCCCTCCTCACTTCCTTCCTCCTCCCTCTCCTTCCCTCCCCTCCTCCTCCTGTTGGTTGAGCTAGTAACGTTAGCAGCACCGCTAACGGCTAACCAACAGGAGGA